GTTTTCTGTTGCACTACAACACCTTCAGAGCGCAGAAATATATGAATGCGTGAGCATGGCTTTATTTTCCTTTTTACTTAATTTGCACGAAAGCAAGAATAAAATAGGCTGATTCCCTTGATAACCATTGATCCAGACACGTCATATCTAGCGTTGTCTGAGATAGTTTCTAGCTGCTAATGTTCAAGTCATCAGTCAATGAGCTTCAGAATATTGCATCTGCGTATCCTCGACTAACATAAGTTCGCACGATTGGTGTTGGTTCGCAAGCATATCTTCAACATTTACGTGCACGCGGATAACTAACTACATATTATTCTCGTTACTTACTTGTGCTGCACGAAATAATAGCACTGTACTCTACGACGAGGGATAAATATTATCGTGATTAATACCGTCCGAAGTCAATATAAGTTAATACTGCGTGGCCTCAGGTTACAGTAAAAGCTGTAACCCCTACTATTTACGCTGTAATTATATGGTGCTTTTGTTTTAATTATTGAAAATTGTGCAATTAAGAATTTTAATGGTTGGTCCTAAATTGAAAAATTTGTTGAAGTGATTGGAGGCGTGTGACTACTTCGACTTGAGATCATTTGTGTTTTGCACATCCTTGTCCACCACTGCTAAAAACTACTTTTATCAAACAACCCTTGCATCCATGCTTTATTTATAAAATGTAAAGCACTGCTAAATTTACATGTTGAGGTGAATTTTATCTTTAAAGCTATTAAAATGTTAAATGTACATATGAATAATAACGTGCATTTAGCTGCGTAGCATATTGTCAGTGTGAATACATTAATTGATATTCGAACGGGTGGCACAGTAGTGTAAATACTGGCGGCAAAATATAGATGTTCTTGGGATTGTACGTTAGTGATTTAACTCGCATCCATTTTAATTGTGTGCGGGTGTTAATTAAGCTCACGTTTCATGAATGCAAAGCCATTAGGTTTTTAACAACGATAAAAGATGTGCAGTATATGAACAACGCTACGCCTTTCCTGCTAATGGCAGTTTTTCTTCATAGTTTGTCATACCGCTTGACGATGCGCCCTGGTGGGTGGTAATTCAACGCAAAACCATTGGCATTTCAATGATTTCTTGAAGCGATATGTATTTGATACTGACTGTACTGGATTTTCTACGAAGTAAAAAATGAAGAAGAAATCTTCTGTCATTTGTGGATCTGAAGACGCCTCAAAGGATTTTTTCATCCAAATTTACAATGGCGTTGGCATTGATTTACGATTCGAGGGCATAAAATATCATGTGAGTAAAGGCCGCGGATTAGGTAACTACTTTTTTAAATTTATTCTGCAGTTAACAAATTTATTCTGAAGGACATTTCTGGTGTCTTCAAATGCGGTCAGCTAAGTGCGATCATGGGACCTAGCGGTGCCGGTAAAAGCTCATTGCTTAACATTCTTGCCGGATACCGCTCCAAAAACGTGTCTGGTGATATATATGTGAATGACCACGAAAGAAATCCTCAAGAGTTTCGTAAAATAACTAGTTACATTATGCAAGACGACTTGCTGCTTCCGCACTTATCGGTTGAGGAAACCATGACTTGCAGTGCTAACTTGAAGCTATGCGAGAAATCTGACGCGGATACAAAAGGAAAAATAGTGAGTGTTTTGTGCTTGTTGAATATCGAACGCACTTAATATTTGCTTAACTTGTGTGACCGATAAATGTCCACTGGAGTTACTGTTGGAGTGCACTGAGTGACGATCTTTTGGCACACGGCCTCGATGAGACATATGTAAAACGAATTAAAGCTGCACAGAAAATTTATCAGTGCAACATTAATAGGTTCTGCGAACGGTTTTTAGATTTTGCAAGTACCTTTCTGTACACAGCAGAAGACGATTCCTAAATCGTGATAATGCAGTACAATAATTGCAAGCCAAAACGCACAAATTTTGTTTGACCGAAATGCGTTCTAAATGTGTCTCACGAGAAAGGCAAGGTGCACTTAAGCACTTTTTAGGCGATAGGCTCTCAGTGAGTCATGCTAATGGAAAGAACGCTTTTGTTTTAAATTAACCGCTTATCAGCAAAGTCCGGGGATGCAAATGCTTCGTTACGAAATGCAACGATATAGTTAAACACATTGCGCCATTATTCTTTTTAATTTTTGTTCTGCGTGCTACTCAAAACACGCTTAATTGGTATGGCTTTCTGTTCATCTGTGTTGACAGAGTATTTTGGTTTATCTCAGAATATTCGATAGGTTCTTATATGCGATGTTTTGCTGCGTAACAATATATGTGTTTAACCAAGGATTATGTTTCCTCTGCCTTGGCTTTGAGTGTAGTTTCCATTTTGTCTGGCTAACTGACTGCAAATGGCAGACATAATATTATTCGAGAGTGTTACATGAACTCAACGATTTAATTTTGCTAATAGATAACATAAGTGCATGGTATTCGCTCTACTTCTGCGTAGTATTTTATAGCATGCTGCTTGGGATAGCAATATTATATCCATCAACCTTGAAGTATCTCTCAGAAACAGGCGGTATATATATGTATATATATGAGGCTGATTTTGCATTCATGAGGCTTCTTCACCGCAGCTGGGCTAAACCAACATACATCTAAACTAGGTCTTTTTAAGCTGGATAGATATCATTCCAATTTATGTGGTTTATACTGCCTACCTTACTAATCTTCTATTAACTGGCCACGTTGCTTACGCTAATTGTGGTTATTTTCGTTAACTTTATTGCGTTTGTAGCATTTTCGTGTAACTACTGAACATTTTGTACTTATCGCGGATTTGTTGCTAACCAACTTACTTCATATGCTACTTTAGGGTAGTTTTGTCTGCATAATCGTATGCTTTAACTGACATATTCTTTTTGATAATGCGATTTAAAGTGATTGGCAGTTATTTTACATCTCCGGTGTGGCTGCGCTGGATGTGCATGTTGACAAGGTGCCTACCTTTCTATTACCCACTACCTCGTCCACATTGACTCCAGGAGACAGTTGCTCGTTGCTTGGGGGGACGGGATGCACGGTCCTTGTGGTCGTGCTAGGATCGAAGAGTGGTTCCATGCACTCAGTGTGGAGCGGCCTACGGTCCAACCACCGCCTTGTGTGCGGGTGATTCCCCAACTACAGCGTGCTTGTGTTTTTCTGTGAAGGAGTGTGGGCCGGCTCCGTTGATGGTACATTGTTCCCATCCACATCCTTCCCGGTCATATTCCTTCTGGTTTATACTAGATATGGGGTGTGTGGTTGGAGCTGTGGGTGGTGCAGCGCAAACCACCCATGATCCCTTTGTAGGCGCAGGCGTCCTGTGGCTGGCCACAATGACAATCAAACCGGAAACCGGATTCCGCCAACCAGATATATATATATATATATATATATATATATATATATATATATAACTTTTACGCATAAATTGCTACCAGGTTAAGAAGGTGGCGGCCCACTACTGTGCCACCAAACGATGTTTACATGAAAGTTAGACCTTTACGTTTGTAGCTGTTGCCAGCCAGGTTTAGAAAAATATATGCGGAGCAAGTTACAGCAACTAACGTTGAGCAAACCTCAATCGTAAACAGCATGCTCTTCTTAAACTTTACGCGTGGCTTTGCCAACTATTCATTAAAACGAAACATGAAACTTAGAAATAATTAACTGATCATTATGGTTTGCAGTTTTTGTATGCTTTACAGTTAGACAAGATATTTTATTATGTAACCCAATGTTATGATGTTTTTCCGAACAACATTAAACTTATCAGAGTAAGTGTTTTGTGACTTTCTGGTTTTCATCGCATATTCTAAACCAATTATACCGTTAGACATTTAATGATTTGTGGTGCTTACTAACTGGATGAATACTTACTGGACGTGGCGCCTAACCCGTGTGCGGAATTTTGCTTTTTTATTTATTAAGCATATTCTTTAGGAAGTAAGACGTGCGTCACCATTTGCCTCTGGCTTTTCCTGAATGTTTGATATTTACATGCATAACATAAGGTATTATTACATGAATGTCGTAGTAATTGACTTTTTTCAGGCAATATTGCGGAAAACACAAGAAATGCTGATATTAATTTCTATGCCTTAGGTTGAGGATTGAACTCATTGATGTTACCTCGAACGAAGGGACAAAATAGCCGTTACCTTGAAAGGCATAAGTTAGGGATTAAATTCGCTTTATGTACCGTGCGGAATGTATGCTATCTAACATATAAGTATCCACTACTATATTTAAACAAATTTGGTTCTTACGTATTTCATACAAATTTTCCTAGCTATTTACATGTTACTAGCAAACAACTTGACCAGAAAAATAGATTCTGAATAACAGCAATTACTCTAGAAATAATCTAAGATAAAACAATTACTCCCATAGTTCTTACTATTGCACAGTTTCCCCAGTTCTGCTAGACTTGCGCAGAAAGTGCTTAGGTTAGCCATCTTAATGTGTAAAGTATCACAGTCGCCACGCGAATACTGAAACTGCGTAAGCTGCAGCTGTGTTCTCTTTACGAATATTACGGTTAAACGTCAACGGAAACTGTACAGTTTCCGGTTAGACTCTCGCTGGTGACCCTGCAGCAGCCACAATTTCAAGCCTCCCTAACTTTAATTAAGTTCTCCTTAAGGCACTGTCACTACGTGGCGATTACTATGCACAGTGACATTTATCTTTTCATAGTTTACACCGTACTATATACTATTGACGTATACATTTCGAATGTGGATGGCAGGTTCGCCTTTGGCTGATTAAGCAACCGGATTATTGTTGTTGGCAAATTGTATTCTTCTAGGTCCCGGGTGCAGTGATATGGGAGATACGCTCTTGTTACCAGTCTTATTTTGCGTATTCACAAGGTCTGTTACGTCGGGTTGAGTTGAGTTCGATAACTTGTTTTGGTTTTAGTGTAATAGTATTAACAGTTTGTTCGTCAGTACCGACTAGGATAAGCGGAATAGGTAGGACGTTTACGACGCTCACATGGCATGAATACTCTTTCAACCGGCCGTACATGTCAGTCAACAAAATGATATTATTCTAAATGAACGAAATGTGCTGTTAAAGTTCAGTTAGTTACTTAATAATAATGGATTATAACCAAAGGATTCAATATGACGTTATTCCCTTTTTGTTATTGGTTGATATGATGAGCTCTAAACCGAGACATCCTTGTTAATTCAGTTGTAAAAGTTTAATTGTTATTTTTATATATCCGTTCGTAGGCCTTCATTACAAGTAATAGGCTGTAAAACAGATTTATTGGCTTGATGTTTAGTCAGGGTCAAATGATTTGCCTTGCTACGCTTATTATGGTTCCAATGATTTATCAGCTGAGAACATCATATTAATATAACACTGCCAAACCACAGCGGTTGTTATAACTTAGGCTGCCGACTGTTACAAGTGCAACCATCTTTCCTACTACAAATTAAAAAATATATGCATAAGAGCTGATTAAAGACGCTATACTTGAATCTTAGGAGTGCCGATAGATTCTAACTTGTACGCTCCCTTATATAAGCATTTGTTGCCAACCTTAGGACAGAAAAGGCATTTAACTGTTTGTTTAATCTATTATAGCAAAATAGTCGATGTTTTATAGCAAAAGTTTTTTGGATTGATGCATTGAATTTTCTCACAGCACTCATGCAGCATTGGACTAGTGAGCCCTCGAGTTCCGCCAATTCCAACCGCTTTTTGTACAAACGTTTTATGGCGTCTCTATCCAAAGCAGATTCATAGTTTCCTATTGCAAATGCAGCTAATCAGACTGAGCAGTGCTTAGCCTTACCTTTATTTTTACAAAGCATGTGACACATTAGCGATATCAAGATAGTAGCAAAAGATCCCGGAAACAAGCACTTCGAAATGAAGTTCATGAAGCTACATCCAACAAAGCTTTAGTGCATGTAATGATAGCCTCTGAACAACAATAGGCACTCCACTAGTGCAGTGACATTTTTCAGCTTCTTAGTGGTATTGGCTGGCTTAATTATTAAGTATTGAATCCCATCTCATCAACTATTGTGACTACCTTAACATTGAAACCATGGTCCACTGTCTATATCAGTACGGGAGTTCAGACCTCCTTGGCGGAAGGTATTTACGGTGAGTCTTATAATTAGTAGGTGCGATCCGCGCTCAGCAATTTTCCTACTATTGTTTCTATAAATTAGTTTTCACTGCCGTAGCTATGATGTACTTCGGTCACAAAAACTTTAACGCTACAGAAGTTAGACTGCTTTGCGTGCACGTTTATATCTAACTAACTAACAAAATTAAAAAGTGGATGTTAGTTTTTGTTCTTTTCGTCGGTTATCCAGTTATGGTTATTCTATATGTGATTTAAATTTGGTCCCTAAGAGTGCTTAGCTAATTCATCTTGATTGTAGAAATCGATCAACTTATTTATTGGCTCATGGGTACCCACTGTGTACTTAGATAGCGGCGCGCAATCTTGCTTGTTACACCGGATTGGTTTAAATTAACTGTTGTTTGTTCCGATTAATAAAAATGCAACAAACAAAGGAGTTTCGGTGGTACTAGTTTTATTAGCTATACTCCATGATTGGTCTCCTGTTTGTACAGTCAAGGTAAGATATGTGCATGGTGTAAGGTACCAGATACCTACTTGTAGTGCAGTGTAAGGGCTTTTCCTGCCA